AAAAACCAAAGGATTACACTCTATCTAAATTTAAAAGTTAAAACCTTTTATATTACCCTATTATTAACATTCATTTGATCTGAATTCTCTGCGACCATCATGTGAATTTCAATCTGCATTATTTTCTCTTATTTCACTTAGAGTTATTATTGCGGAAATGATTAGCCCAGTGTTTCTCAACCTTGGCCACTTGAAGATGTCTGGACTTCAACTCTCAGAATTCCCCAGCCAGAGAATGCTGGCTGGTGAATTCTGGGAGTTGAAGTCCGGACATCTTCAAGTGGCCAAGGTTGAGAAACACTGGCATTAGCCTCTTGATGATACAACATAAAAGAAAAAAAAATGTAGGAAGCTTCTTATCAAAACAATATTTGTTCCAACATTTCACAATACCTTCCCATAATCAAGATACAATTCAACTGGTTTAGGAGGGGTTTTTCCCCTGAAAATGGACAAGCAATTACCAAGCCTCTGTGGGGAATATGCATTGCTATATAATAAATAGAATAATTCAATTGAAGGAGCCACTCTGATGAATGAGAGACATTCAAGGGCATTCCTCTTTCCATTGGGCTCTGGTTGCTTTTCATCTGGCAAGTAAGAAAAGATTAAAGTGCCTTATTTTTCTATCCATTCTGTCTCTTCTACTTCAATGGTAGAGACTGTATACAAAAACATTTCAGCTCAAAGCATATCCTAAGCAACAATGGTAAGGGTAATGGTTATGTGAATACTACAAGATTATTATGGCACACTTAGAATCTGTGGAACAAAGTCTTGTCTTCATTGATGTTTTACCCAAGAGTTTTCTAGTGAAAGCTTCATATATTCTTAGAACCAAAGGATATCCAGATTTGACAATGCAAAGCAATGCTTTGTTCCCATTTCTCTTCTCTTCTGTAATATTGGGGATACAGTAGAAAAACAACACTTACTTATTGTTGAAATAAACATGATGCAGAAACCAGCAAACATGGGGACCTGATAGCCTATCCTGGAAAACAAAATCAATAGCAATTTTTGACTCATTACACATGTTTTTTTCTACATCTACAACAGATGTTTCATTTTTTTTAGGAAGCTGAAAATAATATTTTATAATAGAGCTAGGCAACCTTTTGAAGGTTAGAGAAGGATTTTGAGGGGGCAAGCATCTCTGAGGAGATGTTGCTCATGTAAAATGAGGGGAACCACAAAAGAATTTCAGATTTTTGCCAGACTACAAGCTTCGTTTGTTTCAGCAAGAGTGAAATAAATTCTGGCTCTTACCTTAAATTAACTGTCTATAAAACACTACAAATGAATAATTACATTCAAGAAATTCCTTCAGTGAGAAAACACAACATACAGCAGCGCAAAACTTTTAATACTGAAACCAGGGGTCTCCAAACTTGGCAGCTTTAAGACTTGTGGACTTCAACTCCCAGAATTCCCCAGCCAGGCCACAAGTCTTAAAGCTGTCAAGTTTGGAGACCCCTGACTGAAACAAAGCTTCCTAATACTTTAGCCAAATGGTAGGGACTTCCCCAAAGCCAGCAAGAGGGTTGACATTTGTGAGAGAATCGTGATGCAAACCCATGACTTTTGCATAGGCCCAAATGGTATCAGAAATCTCTTTACAGATCTCTACAGATTATAAACCATTTATTTTAAAACTCACAATTATTTTCATTAACTTAGCCTACAGAACCACATATCAATAATGTATTAGTACCATTAAAGAAATACAGAAATAGAAGGAGTACAGAGATGTACAGACAAATTATCTGGTGTTCCAAGAGATGTTTCTTCATGAGAGGCTAAAACAAGTAAGGCTCAAGGCTGTTCTCTGTTAATTCTTCATCAACATATCAGATCAGCACCAGATGACATAAATACAACTTACTATGATTTGCACCCAGTGAAAAAGATGGAAATTTACAGAAAGTTGGTGCAACAATGGTTTTTCCACTACAATTGCTCTACCTTTTCTCAGCTGCTCCAATCACATCATTGTTGGCTTTGCTGAAAACCATTAAAAGGGGGAAAGGAAAACCATTCTGGTAATATTGCCAAGGAAACTTCATAGCCTACAATCATTAGGAATTGTAGCTAAACTAAGGAGGGAACTATACTTACTTTTATGAAAGCCTGGAAACCCTTATGATTTATTTATTTGCTGAAAATGAATAAACATGAACTAGTGATTTCAGTATTCATTGATTAAAAAGGTTTGTATAAGAGAAGAAGCAAACCATGATATGTAATTTGGAAGGGAGGGTAAAGAGATGTCAATTATTTTGTTTATAATTGCCGAAAAGAAAACCAGAAGTGCTTCTTTAGATTTCTTTTTTCTTTTGTTATCTTTCACCCTTTTACGTTGTTTTACTACTTTTTCTTTTATGTTTCTGTAGTTTCTTAAACTGTTCTTCTAATTAAAAACCCTTTTTTTAAAAAGGAGTTGAGCTGAGCCCAAGGGCATCTCACATTTTTACTAGAAATTCAAATGAACATGCAATTGCATCTAAAATACCTACATAAAGACCTAACCATTCCAGAATCTGTATGTTATCAGGCTGTTCCATCCATATATTGTGAGCCCATTCAGAATGTGAGCCAGGCTTTCTATATTACTCTAAATAAAAATTAATACTGCTTTCTAAAAGTAACACAACAGTAATACTTAGCAGATTTTAATATTTAAAGTGCAATATAAATTTTACCTTGCCCTCCAGCTATTGCATCTAAAACAACTATTTTATTTATTTTATATTGAATATCAGAAAGGCGTAGGTTCCGGCTTCAATCTATCATTGCAGTTTTGATTTTCTAATATTTTAGACTTTTCAGTTCAAAATTTGGCTGATAAAATTGCCATTGCTTTTGATACCCTGTTTCCCTGAAAATAAGACCTCCTCAAATAATAAGCCCAATTGGGCTTTTGAGCCCATGTGCTAAAATAAGCCCTCCCCCAAAAATAAGTCCTCCCTGAAAATATTGCAACACAGCAGCAGCCATGAGGTGACCATGCTCGCTGTCTCCTGCACCTCAAAATTAATATCTCCCCCAAAATAAGGCCAAGCGCTTATTTCAGGAGTCAAAAGAAAATAAGACCCTGTCTTATTTTTTGGGAAAACATGGGTGTTACTTTACTGTTTTATGTGCTTTGGTTTTATTTCTTGTAGACAGTATGGTGGGATATCATACCAGAGCCCAGGTGGCGCAGTGGTTAGGGTGCAGTACTGCAGGCNATAGAAGGAAATCACTGGAAAGTTCTTGGAAGAGCTATGAATTATTACTGGGGGTATAGGCGTCAGTTCATATACCCAAACAGAGGTTTAATCCATTCCAGTTGTGCATATCTAATAAAATTCCACACAAGAAATATGATAAAAGAAGGTATATTTTTAAGTTGAATACAATGAGAAAATAAGAATGCTTTAGGTTACAATTAAAATTAATGAATATTTCTTCCAAAAGAAACATGTTCCTTTAATTTCAATGATATTTAAGTATGTCTAATTATCTTGCCTATTTTTTAAAGTTCCCATTTTTTAAATTTCCCAGCTTTGTTTTTCTAACATCAAAGAGCACTTGTCAAGAGGCCAGCTGCATGTAAATCAACACTAAGAAGCATTATTTCAACAACTTTTCAATAGTATTTGACAAACACAGTGATATACAATTTCAGTTTAGTATACTTTGAAAAGACACAATTATGTATTGTATCATGGCTGTAGTTGTGAGACCTTCTCTAATTGTTTAATAAGTGATACAATGGTTTTGGATGTCCTATAACTCAAGTGGCCTAGCAATTCAGATGCAAATTCTGTGCAACAAGGTAATGTTATTTTCATTCATTCCACTTAAAACATACACATGTACTGTACAGCTGCAAAAAATCTCCAGAAAAAAAAGGTAAGGGCAGACAATTGGGACAAGTGACCAATCACTTCTTTAGATTACCCAGAAGAAAATTGCACAACAGCAACAACAACGTGAAAACAAAAAGCATAGACCAAAAAGATAATTGTGAAGAAATAATAGGTTCTAGGGATATCAAACTGGAGAAATCCAAACATAGGATATAGATCTGGTGCAAAGGAGGGCTTAAAAATTGGAAATGCAAAAAGAATTTAACCAGGGCTTGCTGCTGTAAGGGAGAAAAATCAGAAACCAGGTAGTTTAGTATCACTAAACTTATTATTAAGGAACTCTTAAGAAATACCAGAGAAAAAATATTGCTATACTGAATCTGATAATACAGAAATTTATAAATGATTCTATAAAGCTTTGTTGCATACATTTTGCTACCTGGGATGTGGAATTTCCTTTGTGATTCCTAATTAGCATGAATACTTCTCTTGCTACTTACTAAATGTCCTGAACCCAATTTCACTTGAGTTTACCAAAGATAATTTTACTTTTTTAAGCAAAAAAAGGCTGGAAATAGTCTGACACTTCAAAAGTAAAAATAGTGATTAGCTGTAAACCAGAACTTATCCATGGACGAGAAGGAAGAGGAGAAGAGGGAGAGGGAGAAGGAGGATGAGGAGGAGGGGAAAAAGAAAGGAATAATACTGAAGGTAATAGAGCCACGATGGCGAATCTATGGCACGTGTGCCCAAAGTCGCCCATTCCTCTTCTGGGTTTCTGGCGCACATGTGCTTGCGACGATCATCTGACCTTCGTGCGTGCAGCCAGTCTGCTGATCGTCACGCATGCATGTGTGCCAGAAATCTGGAAGACTAGCTGGCCGGCATGCATGTTCGCCCCAGAAACCAGAAGTTCATTTTGGGGTGTGTGCATGGGCCCTGGACAGCTCCTCTTCCAGTTGCAGCCCAGATGAGCGTCCATGCTCCCTTTTTGGCACTCAGCGCCGAAAAGGTTCACCATCACTGTAATAGAAGATAGCTGGTTTTGAATGCTGAAATATTTTTTTAATTTCATTTTCAAGTCACCTGTGAAATTCAGATAACAACCACATATTTTAAAAATATGTTGTAAAATTCAAACAATACCTGCAGCAATAAGAATGTATGGGTCTCTCAAGAGAGTCAGTAATGATGCTCCTTTTTGACTCTGTTAAAATAAGAATTAAAAATAAAACAGTTTTATAAAGGGCAAAATAAACATT